TATAATTATTTTAAAAAAAATTTAGTCTAATAAAATTTAAATTAATAAAATTATCCTGACTTAAAATAGAAAATTTGATTTAAAACAAAAAAAAAATAAAAAAAAGAGAGAATTTAGTGAGATGTTTTTTATAGTGGGCCCCACGTAATTGATGAGCCTTAAAGATAATAATGGGTCCTACAAAAGTCAAAATCAGGTGCTATGTAGCTTTATCCTCTGTCAAAATCAATTTTTACATGTCATGCGGTAGTATCAAAACGGGAAGTGTACGAGAGAAGTTCTCGTTTTTTGCAGTCTCGTGAGTTTGTGAGTTTTGAAGGTCTCATTCACTTCACCGATTTAAGTTTTTAATTTTAAATTTTTATAATAAAAAATTTTCAGAAAATATCACATCTAACTTTTTTTATTACAGTAAAAAGTTCTCAAAAAATATCACATCTCTGCTCGAATTGAAAACTCAAATCTGTGAAGTGAACGAGACCTAAATTTAAGTTTTTACAGTAAATTTTTTTTAGAAAATATCACATCTAATTTTTTTCTACTACAATAAAAAATTATAAAAAAATGTCACATTTTAACTTGAATTGAAAACTCAAATCTGCGAATTAAACAAGACATTATATATTATGTAAATTTTCTATCAATTAAAAAATTATAAATATTTATAAATGTTTAATTAAGCGTGCGTTGGGTTGGAATTAGGGTTTGAGTCTTTGGGTCTTGATTCAAAATCAATCTCCCCTAATTCAGCCCATCTTGAATCACTCTGCACAGTGCACAAACAGTAACTTGAGTAATGACTCTCACCTTCCTCACGTTCAGTCTTGACTATTCTGCTAGAGAATCTACAGCCTTCCTCATCCTTTCGTTCTTCTCATGCTCCTTCAGAGAATCTGTTCAACCTTTCTCTGTTTTTCCCTTCTCTTCGAATTTTTCACGCTTATGTTCCCTCACATGCTCGCATATTAACCGGGTAAAGAACCCACATCTCGGTGGAATCCTTTTATCTGGGTTGATGCTTAGTCCTTCGAGTAGGTTGCCCATGAACAATCGACAGAAGCATCATATTCGGTAAAAATTTAGCCGGTACTACGCAATTTCTCGCCCTTACCGGAGAGAAAACATAAGCGAACGAAAAAATTTCAAAACACCTTCGTCTGCGTTTGGTTTTCTGCCGGCGGTGTCGTTCATCTCTTCCTCTTGCTCAAACTCTGTAACGGTATGTGATCCTCACCTTATTCACATTTTTGTTTAAAGATCTGTAGATGCTTAGGCTATTGTTTTGCATGGTTGGTCTTTTGAATGGGTTCATCTCGGCGGATGTACCCGAGATGTACTCAAATAATAGGGATTTAAACAAAGCCTTTTTGTGTTATTGGTTGCAGTTGTATTTCAATTTTTTTGCTCTGACTCTTTACAGTTGATACAAAAATTTCTCTAAACTTGTAGTTTTGAGAATTGGAAATTAAATTTGTAACAATACCAGAAGTTGAATCAAAGTTTTGTTTTTTCCTTTGTCCAGTTATGAAAATATGTACAAGAAACACAGATTAGATCCAATAGAATCAAGCCAAATTAGATAGCATCATACACAGAGATCAGCATGAAGTAATGTGTAAGTGGGCGTAAAGGGTGGGACAGGGAATGCGGATGCTGGGGCTGTAACTTGATTTAAAAGACATAGCTATATGCCATGTTCCTCCTTGGTAGACTTCGTTCACAAGAAAAGGTCCATCTTCTTTCCCTTTCTATGACAAAGAATCCAAACAACTACAACCACAAGAGGCAAAAACTGATTATAAAGTTTTCCCGTCTTCATTTCTAGTTGCTTGCTTTCCCTTTCCTCTTTATCTTTTCCTCCTTTCATGAACCCATATTCCCTTATACTGGAGCCAAATTCTGTGAATGGAACAAATAAAAAGATTCAACTTAAAAAATGACATCTTAGAAATGACATTAGGCCATGAAATGTAGAACATATTTGAGAATATTAACCCATAAACAAGTGTAGTACTAGACCAAAGGTGTAAAATTTTGCCTGCCATCATAATTTTTATGGCATCTGTGATTTTTAACCGTTATATCAGTAAAAACACTAGGGATATTTTCTCCTCCAAATTTAACTGCTTGAGTTTTTCAAAAGTTACTTTTAGGACTAGCCTCTCGTGATTTTGAAACTCTGCAAGTTTAGGGTACACATGCAAATTTAGAAAAATCTGTAGTAGACATACCAGCCAAGATTTCACCTCCCTGTCCGGTGGTTCTTTTATATTGACATCTTAATCTGATGCATATATACATTCATATACACACACACATATATATATATATGTACACACACTGGCAGCTGCTATGCAGCTTTATCCTCTGGCAATATATGTTACACTATGAGGCGGTGCACGGCTCAGTCTGAAAGCCAATAAGAGTTGAGTCAAAATCAATTTTCACATGTCCTAAGGTAGTATCAAAAGGGAAAGTGTCCGAGAGAAGTTCTTTATAAATATGTTATGTAAATTTTCTATCAGTTAAAAAATTATAAATATTTTACTGACGTAATATGATTTTATTACGGATACATTATGTCCAATCCCTCGTTCTAATGATTTATACTACTAGTGAGTACTTTTAGTAGAAAAAGGTTGTTTTGAATGATCTTTTTATATTCAAACTAAAAATTGATTGGCATGTTGAAAATAAATAAATAAATAAATGTTAACGATAAAATGATTTGGGCTTAGGCTTAAATACCTAGTGGAGTTTTGACGGCTCTTGCGGATGCGGAGCAGCTGTTGAATTACTTTTGTGAGTTTTTTGAGTCAATATTTGGGACCAATTTGCGATAACCTGACTGGCAGGTCCGCATGACCGCTGATTATAATCTGATAAGTTATGATTTATAATTTTACTGTTTATAATTTATTAGGTTATAATTTATAATATGACAGATTATATTGGCGCCAATCATAATCTATCAAGTTATAATCTA